GAAGTGTTCTCCTACAGGTTTTTGTATATTGCCAGTCCTGATATCTGACTTGTGTGAGTTCTGTGATCAGTTCCCTTCTGTTAGGACAATTCTAACCCTAACTACTGGCCTAAAGATTATAAGACAGGTGCCAGGGCTGTCAGCTCCTCCATTCATTTTGTGACTGGTGCCTCAGTACCAACTTCTTTTTCCCCCAAAAAACCTTATTTGGTGAATTCATGTCAAATTTGTGACTAGTTCTGGCTCACCACAACATGCATGTTTCAGTGAATTTACTATCATCTGAAAAAATAAATCGCCCGCCTCTAATTCTCAGGTCAGAGCTGGAGCCAAAAGCGGTTTAGCACCATCTGGGATGTTCTCAGGTGTTTTCTGGACTCTGCGTTGAGAACAAACCTGTAATCACAAGAGACATTTCACTACTAGACTGTGAAAGACAGCGACTCGTAACCCAGCTGGCCACATCCCCTCTCCATGTAAACCCTATGGCCAGGAGCTCCTGCAGGGAAGAGCTCTCTAGTCCCTCTGTTGCTGAAAAGTGTTGTCACAGAGCTTCATTGGTATAGGCAATCTATCCATAATTCCTCTGGAGATTTTGCTCTGAGAGATAACAAAGAGTGAGGACTTTGCTGCAATAACTGCTGCAGGGGACTTTGTGGCAAGAAAGAACACAGAGCACAGCCGCTGCAGAGAAGTGGGTGGACTCTGGTGAGGCCCTCCCTACCCAGCCAGCATCTTAATAAAGCTGAATCACTAAGCTGGGTTAGGTGGTGGCACCTCTGGACAAGCAGCTGCCTTGGGACTGGAGACAGGGCTGCAAACAGACATTTGGATGACTGCAACTCCCTGATGCCAACCATGAGCAGGGCTTGGTGGGTGAGGGAGGTGGGGTGGCTAAGGGGCTCTCACCTGGGAGATCTTCTCACCGGCACATGGGAAGGGAGTTAGATGGACAGCTGCCAAAATTACTGGAGGGCAGGGCAGGCATTTTACTCTTTATTTGTGTATCTATCCTGTGACTGTGTTATTTCACGTTGGACTGTTCTCCTTCCCATGGTAAAGAGTTCCTTGTTTGCACAAAGTCTCAGGCAGCTTGTAAGTGGCGAAGTTCTGTATTTTCAGGGCTGTTTCATTTCCTCAGAATTTTGGGTGGGACCTTGAGTGAGTTTAGTTGATTGTCAAGAGGGACACTACATGTATTCACCC